CTCTCTCTCTCTCTCTCAATCTCTTTGAGTGAAATATGACTCAATATTGGAGAGACTAAAAATTAAACCAGTTTTGAAAAAAGAATGAAAATACTATCATCCTTGTTCAAGAATGGCAGATTTTCACTCTTGGAATGAGACATCATTTAAAGTGAGATATTACTTCAAAAGAATGATGTCTCATTCGAAAATAGTGAAAATCTGCCACTCTTAAACAGAAGAATGGTAGTATTTTCACTCTTTTTTTAAGACTAGTTTAATTTTCAATCTCTTCGAGTCAGATTTCACTCCACGAGATTTAGAGAGCACACACACCACACAAACACAATATACAACACAATATACAATACACATAATATACATAAATATAAATAATATATATATAAGTACCTTGCACAGTTTCTATATTGTGTGTATTTATACAATCTTCATTATCTGAATCCAATTCTATACTTTGATTATCACAGGTAGCTATTACTTTAAACATTAAGTCTCGATTAACTAAAATATATTTATTATATAAATAACAATTATATTAATATAAATATAAAGAAAAACTTAGTAACAAAATTGTCATTGCATACCATTGATTTCTGTGTCACACATATTTGATGTAAATGAAACAGGTGCTGTCTTCATAAGATGTGGTGCTATATTGGAAATATCAGGATCAATATATACTTGTACTTGTGGTGGTCCCCCACCGGTTGCCAAATATGATTGCTTTTCTCTTGTTAATGCTTCTCTCTGAGATTGTTTTAAATTAGTCCATAGCTTCTTTAATTGAGTAACAGTCCTCTGTTATAATATAATAAAATTTTACATTTTACAATCTTTTATAAATATTTATATATACATTTAAATTATTTTTATCTCTTGAAAAATTAAGACGGATTGATTATACTTATTACATATTTCATTCCATGCTAGGTCTTTATCTTTTAGCGTTGTACTATCGCTTTTTTTAATTTCAATTATATGTTTGTAGTCGTTGAGTATTTGCAAAAATACTTTACGTTCAAAATTAGTGTAATGCTTGTTTTTACTGGGGAGGTTAGATTTCTCCTTGCATGACATTCTATATAAAATTATATTTTTATTAATAATTTTTTTGTAGATAAAGAAGTATTACACAACAGAATTATATTTTAATAATATTTTACTTACTTGATTATTTAAAGTAAAATATATTATTCTAATCCTTGTTTCGTTTGTTTGTTAGGTTAAATATAGCAAGAGTGCCCTAATGCATGTGTAACATAAAGCATGGATTATACATATAATTCTAGGTTGTAACCGGATTTCTATCCTTTCTTTAAATAATCCCGTGTTTCCGAGTTGTAAATAATTATTTTGTAACGTAGAACACCTATGGTGCCTTGCGACCGTCCGCTAATTTTCCAAAATCGCCGAACAAGTATTATAAAGGCGAAATTAATTATAGATGGATGCACAACACATCCCAATGGAACAGGCTCAAGGCATGAACGACGGAAGGAAAGCTGATGATCAATCCAGCGAAACCACCACCGAAGCCACTAGTCGAGCCCAAGAACAGCATACAAACGTGGAGAAGATAACCACGAATATTATATAGAGTAGTTAGAGTCGCAGACGAAGTTATTTTAATTATTTTATGTTACTAAATGTAAAGGGTGACGTACACAAGATGCGACAACATCGCTGAGATTTGATTTACTATTTTATTTTATTCACTGCTCAAAGTCTCATTAAAGACACATATATATATATTTAATACATACATTATAACATAATACAGTTTCCATACGTTTTACAATTAACTAAATAAAAAAATACAACCTACCTGAACATCCTGCAAAACACAGTTGCCAAAGGCGAACCATCCCTATCCAGTGTGAGAATCTAGAAATAAAAAGAACATTAATTAATTAAAGAAAACGTTGAATTAAAATAAATAAAGATACTTACCCATTACTCACCAATAAATACACTGTGATAGAAGTGGAGACCCTGAAAAGGAAAAAATATGATTAACCAGCGCCAAAAAGCGAATACTCACCACAAAGGTTTGTTAAACACATCACTTCGATTATTTCAATTATTTTGATATAACGGCGAGTCAGCCGAATTATTTTAGCCATTTCTGAATTATTTTGAGACTCTTGAATTAATTGGAACACATCTCGGTAGTTAGAGAGAGAAAGTAGAATTATTGCATAAGTCAGACAAGGACAGAAAGTCAAAATTAATAAAACTCAAATATGAGGCAAAAGAGCCATGTAATTAATTATTTCATATCATATTAGAATTATTTAGAGCCCATTTGAATTATTTAGAGTCAAAATTAATTATTTAAAGACATTTCCAAAGTAGAGTTCCGATTAGTGCAAGATAATCTAACGGTGCGCGTAAGACACCATAACGGACCTTAAACTTGATGGACGAATGTAACCAATGATATTTAGTAATTATTTGAAGCAAGAGAAGCCATTTCTGGGTCAACCAGAATTATTTATAACTATTTGAAATTATTTAAAATTAATTAAAGCTGTTTAAGCACTATTCACAGCACCCCAGAATTATTTAAGGTGCATACACATTCGTACATCAAGGATTTGTTAATTATCTATTTATTAGAATTATCTCGGTCAACCAGAGTATTATTTCATAAAAAACTAATTGTTTAGAGTCATCTTGAATTATTTCATGCATATTTTACCATAAAAGAATTATTCGAATTATTTGATTGGTTGCCGAAACGGTCCGACTTAAATATTTAATTATTCGCGTAATTAATTGTCAAAAAGCGAAAGTCCATTAAGAATTTATGTGTTCAGGGAATTATTCCCTAATTATTTAAGCTATTAAAACATTAAAAAGGCCCGTATGAATGATTTACTAGAATATAACCAAATTCGGGAACACCGAACCCACGATGGGAAAATGTACAGACCGTTTCTTCCTGGCCATCTTGCCTGGGAGGACGGCCATGTTAGTGAGTCACTGCCGAACTACCAAACGCGACGGACGTGCGTCGTGTCGGTCATACTCGAGGATTACGCAACCGCGAATACCGTCTAAAAATACGTAATAACGTAACGGGAACGCGTGTTAGCGTTAAATATACATCGCGAAGCGCGAATTTACGCGAAATTCCGCGATTTATCGTGATATACGGAAGTTATCTACACGTGTCACGAAAGTACGGGAAAACGGCATAAATACGCCGAAATTAATTCAATAACGTCTTCGTTACCCGTATACGCCACGCGTCGTGTTAACGCGAAATAATTGAGGAATTAACCTCGTTTCCGTTGTTGCTAGGCGAGTGATGCAACATCACGCGAGCCTTTGTTAGCGGACATATTGGATTCCGCCATTACGTCGTAAGTGCGACGCGACGCGACAACGTGATACCTATTAGCGAGAGTGTCGATTTATAATTAATTATCGTGAGTGAGTGAGAGAGCGAATGAGGGCCCGTTAAATAATTATTTTAATAAAGTTGTGTTTTAATAAAGAATATATACTGTGTTACGTAAAACGGCCTTTCGTGTTATTTGTCACGAGAAATTCCATTCCTCGAATTAATTGAGTCATCACCACGCATCAACGGGCAGAGCATACCCGACGACACCGCCGTCTCGAAGCAGCAGCCAATCAGCGTTGAGAACAAAGGGAAGTCATCCAATCAGGGACAACCTTCCGCTGAGGCCGTTATCCTTCTCAGTTGGTGGACAAACTGAGTGGCGACCGAAACGTAAGTCACGTAAGGTGATTGTTACAATAATTAAATAATTAATTAAGAATAATACAAATATTTAATAAATAAAGGCATTAGTCCGGTCACAGCCTTACCTTTCGGTCGCCACTCTGTTTCACCGAAACACAGAGAAAGTCGTCATCCTGGAATTTCCAATTGAATCTGGCCTCGCCGGAACAGGTCGTCCTTTATTGGTTGCCTTCCGATGGATACTGCGTCCCAATTGGCCAGTAGGTCGAGATGTCGATTCCGTCGAACGTCGTCGCGTCGAAATGCGGTGAAGAATTTATTTAATTCGGGATCGTGAATGTACGTGAATAAATACACAGAAGGCACTTTTAGTGTAACACTAAGTAAAATCTTTATTCAAAATCAACACCAATAATAAATTCAGTAGGCCTTCATTCACACAAATCTCACACAAGCAATAAAATCACAATAGACGACAATTTCGCCTTTCATTCACTCTCTCTTACTATTACGCGTTGTCGCGTCGCGTCGCACTTACGACGAATGGCGGTTATCAATATGGCCGCTCACAAAGGTTGCGTGATATTGCATCATGCACCTCGTAACAAAGGATTCGAGGTTAACGCCTCGATAATCTCGCGTTTTCCGCACGCGTCGCGTTTCCGGTAATCGTGCCGAGCACGTTTAGAACCGATTAATGACGAATTTTCGCCGTATTCCGCACTTTCGCGGTACTTACGGATTATTACCGTATTTCGCGTATTCTCGCGTTAATTCGCGCTTCGCGATGTTCTAATAGCGTTAGGGGACGATACGGTATCCCGTGATACCTGGTTTTGTACCGATTTTCACCCAAATCCGCAAAACTATCAGCCGCACGCTTTAGGACGTCCGTACTATTCAGATGCCCGTTCACGACTGACTGCCAAGATGGCTGGCTTCACTGCCACAATGTCGAGAAGAAAGGGTCCGTTCGCTTTTCTGCGGTCGGTTCGGTTTACCCTAATCTAGTCTCTTCCTGATAATGACATTCACACGGCCCTCTTATGTTTATAATACGATAAATAATTCGGAGATAGTCTCCTTGACATGGATTAATTACGGACATTCCGCTTTTTTACATTTTTATGCGGATAATTAAATTTTGTCGTTGGACAAATTCAGCCCTGTTCTGTGATTGGTCAGATAATTCTGAAAGCTCTAAATATTAATGGAATAAGTTGAAATAATACAACTAAACTCTAAATAATTTACCTTTGACGTATTAATTGTCCTAGTTGCCGAATTGGTTCAATTACAACACTTAATTGATAAAATGTTGATATGCGAGTACATATATATATGTATGTGTCAGGTATGACTTATATGTAATGAAATAATTATAATTTCTTGGAAATGGCTTGTTTTGCCCTAGATAAATCTGAAATAATTTCTGAAAGTGGTTTTACTGCCTTTAATGATAAAATATCTCGCATATGAAAATTTTAATCCTTTGTGGTACTTTAACGTAGCTTAACGCTATATAACTTATTTGGAACAACTTTCCTTTTTACTTTTGCTAATAATTAATCTTGAATCTCTCAATCGAGTATGTACTGAAATAATTGTTTAATTGCCCTTTCGGCTGAGTTTAGTAATATTGATGTTTCTATCTCTGTCTTGTGAATATGAAATAATTAATGCGTCTCTCTTAGACTTATGTGTTTTGTTCCAAATATTTTACATGCTTGAAATAACTTTATATTATGCAAAATAATTAGGTTCTCGTAACCCTATAGTGAAATAATTGTTTTTGACTGAATAATATATATCTTTTGCTAATTAATAGCTTCTTACCTTTCAGGCGTTTATTATACTTATGTTTTATGTTTCAGGATCACCCGTTATTCTCAGCAATTTCTTATGTGGTAAGTATCTCATTTTTATGCGTGGATTAATTCCCTTTTCTTTATTATATCTTATTTTAATTATTTATTTTCCTTTTCAGGTTAGTCTGCTGGAATACTCGTGGATCGCCTTTAATAGGATATTTAGGTAGGTTGAGGTATGTATTTTTATTTTTTATTAATTTTGAACTCTTTTTCTTTTTCCTTAATAAACTTTTAAATTAAACTTACTTTATTTAACGTAAACTTTTGTCTTGCTTTTCAGCATATAAAATAATTATTATCCGCTCTTTATGAGCTTTTGAAACTTTTAAAATATAAAATAACTCTTTTTCTCACAGCCTTTTATCGATGAGACCTTTTACATCGTAAATAATAAAATAACTTGAAATAAATATAAAATAGTGTAATAAACTCTTAATAAGAAGTCATGGGATGGTCCTTATCGGCTGGATGTGTTCCGTGGTGGGTTCCGCTGTTGGCTGCTGCTCGGTCTCGGTTGGGAATTGTTTCCTCTCTGCCGGCGTAATTATTGGAATGGTTCTCTGTAAATGTTGCGGGTTTCCCAAATTAATGACGTAGAAGGGGAAAAATGCACACGGTTGCAAGGTTGTAGCCGAATCACAGTCTCCTGCATGTAATTCGGTCCAGTTTATCGTCGTCTATCCGATCGCCACTCCTTTTAACCTCCAAAGGAGAAGGTTATTCCGCCATCGCATGTATAGCTTGAATCGTACAAGGATGGGTAATTGCCATTGATAACATTCAATTTACAAATGTCACAATATAAATGTATATTTAATTCTTTCAATACATTATGTAAAGATAAACACATTGGAGTGTTTATCTTTACATAGTCTCCCACTTTGATAAGCCGCTAAGTATTATACTATGTGCTCCGCGTATTATACTATTATAAGTATTATACTAGTATATTAAGTATTATACTATCACCTTGCTCCACGCGAGTGGGTGGTTAAAGTACTCTACTTCCTTACTCGACTCTACTCTAGAGAAAAGAGAAAATCTTCTAGCTGCGCACGCACTTATATAACCCGTGCTATCCCCTCTATGATCTTCGATCATAGATACCTAGCGCCTCGCTCGCATGCTGTGCCTCCGCGTTCGTTTAGCTCGCTTTCGCTACTCTTCGCCTCTAATTAGGTTGTTTCGCATATATTATACAGGGTGTCAATTATGTACCGGGACGGTCAAATATTTCGACAACTTCCAACATTAAAAAAAAACGCTGAAACACGTGAAACGATTTTTCAAAA